GTATTTATCTATCATCTACTTCTCTTTACATCCATCCATCCATCCATCCATCCATCCATCCATCCAATCATCTATCTATCTATCTATCTATCTATCTATCTATCTATCTCCTATCATCTATCATCTAACTTCCCTCATCCATCCATCCATCCATCCATCCATGTACTTATCTATCATCCATCAACTATGTATCTAACATCTACCTACATCTGTCTCCATCCATCATCTACCCATCCATCCATCCATCCATCCACCTACCTGCCTATCCATTCATCCATCCATCCATCTATCCTCCTCTATTTTACAACCGTCATCAGGACTGGAAATTCCATTGTTAAGCAAGCAGCTTGTTAAGTGAGCCATGTCCTATTTTAAAACCTCTTGGCTGCAGTTATTAAATGAATCACACAGATGTTAATCACATCTGGCTTTTCCCATTGATTTTGCTTGTCAGAAGCTGGGTAGGAAAGTCCCAGGTGGCCATCACATGACCCCAGGACACTGTAACCATCATAAATACATGCCAATTGACAAGTGCTAATTGGAAATAGGCCATTTCCGGCCTTCCTGAACTTCTGGGAGACCCGTTTTTGGGGCAGTGGGTTGGACTAGATGACCTACAAGGTCCCTTCCAACACTGATTATCTGTTATATATCAAGGACAATCCGTAGCATCTAAGGGGCATACGATATCTCCATATTTTGCTTGTGAGCACTCTCGAGACCTCCGGTTGGCCTTAGCGATAAATAAAACACAAGACTAAAATAAACCTTGGTTTGATCCTGCAAACCTTGGTTTGATCCTGCAAGCACCTGTTTCCACACCAAGCCATCTTGCAGCTCATCAGTGAGAAATACCCAAGGGACTAAGTTTATACAAGTTTCCTTCCTGGTCATCCTTAAGCAATGATTGCTCACCAGGAGTGATTCAGTGGATGGGTATTTACAGCTCAGGAACAAACCAGATCGAATGGATTGCATGTCATTTCAAGGAAGCTGAGGAAATTAAAACAATCAGCTCTCTATCCATTTGTCTAAAGTGGGGCCTTGTGGAGCGTCGCTATTGTTCATACTCTGGAGCTCAAGTGGTAGAAGTGCACTGATGATGTTACCTAGTTGGGTCATAAACGTCTGCAAGAAAACCACCAAGGTCAGAAAGCAACAGGGATCAGTCTTCTTCTC